CCGAACTGGAGTACTCGCTTGCACTGTCGACGCCTTTGATTAGCGAATCTCTGCAAGTGGTTTTCCACTATAAGCACCTCGGCACCATTCTCGAGAGAGGAGGGGGCCTAGCTCGCGATCTGCGACAGAAGATCGGGGCGGCACATGATACTATGACAAAATTTCGTGCATCCTTGTTTTCCAACCGTGGGCTTCCACTTGAGAAGAAAGTGCAATTGTTCCTTTCAATGGTGCTCAGTGGAGTGACCTTCACCAGCTCGATTTGGTGTCCTCGTACACAACGGCAGTGGAACCAGCTCGAGGCGGGTTTTGGGCGCCTGTATAAGCGCCTGTGTATATGTCATTTTGGCAAACAAGCGCTAGAATGGAGCAAGGAGAAGGTCCTAGTTGAGCTCGGTATGCACAGTGTTGAAGAGATTATGCGATTGAACCGTTTGAGATATCTGTCAAAGCTCACTGCAGTCGGCCAGCCCCAAGTTTGGGGTTTGCTGCAAGCAGAGCGTTGCTGGATCGAATTTGTACAAGCCGACATGAGATGGTTGCATACTTTTTGCCCCGAAGCCGAGCTGCCATTATGTACTCCTGAGGAGTGGCCTCATCTGATTGCTTGGTTTAGCGAAAATGCTAATGCTTGGAAAAGGATCTTGAAGAGATCTTCTTGTCGAGCACTTGCTTTCAGAAAGCGACGCTATCATTGGCAAAAATGGCATCAATGGATTTTTGAGCACCTCAAAGCCGAAGGAGCGTGGCCGGAGGCCTGTTCGGTGCGCCCTAACCAATGGTTTTGTCTGAAATGCAAGATGAGCTTTGGTTCGCCAGCTGCTTTATCTGTGCATTCATTTAAAAAGCACGACCGTGTTCACACAGCCAGGTACTATATCACAGGTACCCAGTGTGAAGCATGCCTTAAGCACTATAGCAGCTACGTCAGCCTTTTCAACCACGTCAAGCGATCTCTAGTGTGTTTAGCTGCTTATCAAACTAAGGCGCAAGTAGTCGACCCTGAACCAGGGGTCAACAGTCGCAAAGCTAATGCAGTCCAACTTGGCATTAAGGACCCATACTTCCAAGCTGAAGGACCTCAGCAACTCACCACTGGCAGTTCGACCAAGGACCCGCACTATCAGAGAGAAGCCAGTTTTCTTAAAGAAAAGTGGACTGAGACGTGCGATTCTGGGCATTTGTCGCCAGATGAATGGTTGGAGGCGCTGCGGAAAGCTACTAGCGATACATATCTTTCACCAGAGGAAATACAGCAGTCCTTTGTTGAGTGGTCCAGCCACTGTGATTTCGAGTCCTTAGGGGTAAGCATTGGTGCCTTGCCAGCTCTTTCGCTTTTCCTTGAGCGCTTTTCATTTGAGTGGCTAACAGGCATGTGCACCACATCGAAAGAATGCCATGAGTCTGTGATGACTACGTTTGCGGAAAAAGCAGTGTCTTTAGAGCCTTTCCGATTTCAGCGATATCGAGTGCCTCAATATAAGCCGGCCGTATTTGCTCATTTATTCTCTGGGCGGCGGCGCCCAGATGATTTGCAGCAGTGTCTCGAGCGGCTTGGGCACATGGCTCTTTCAATAGACATCATTTTTCATAAATCCAAAGGTGATCTCTGCAACGAAGATACGTTTGCTTTCTTCGTCAATGCTTTGCGCAGCGGTTTCATTTGTGGCTTTTTGAGTGGGCCCCCGTGTGAAACCTGGAGTAGGGCGCGTGGGCAGTTGCTGCCCGATGGTGCTCCAGGACCTCGAATCGTTCGCTCGGTCGACTACCCATACGGCAAGCCACATTTGACGAAAGCCGAAGATCTCCAAGTGTCATTTGGGAGCCTGTTACTAGGCGTGACTCTACGCCTAATGGCTGTAGCCCTGACTTGTGGGGCGACAGGCATTATGGAGCATCCTGGCGAAGACCAGTCCTCACCATATGTCATTTCCGTGTGGAAGACCTTCATCGTGCGGACCCTGGTATTGTTTTCGAGATGTGCCCAGATTCGGATTTTTCAGGGTTACTACGGGGCTTTAGCTGTCAAGCCAACTGACCTGTTGGTGGTTAATGCAACGCCGCAGACTGAAGAAACCTTCCTAGCTGCCAGAGCCACCCCCCTCCCTAAGGGAGGTGTAATAGGACGAGGGCCGGACGGCAAATGGAGAACGGCGGTACTCAAGGAGTACCCGGCCCTCCTTTGTGCAGTGTTTGCACAGGTCCTCTCTGACAGCCAGTTCTCGCCAGCCGAAGCTCCCGAGCTGCCCTCTCACTTTTTAGATGAGGTGCAGCCATTGTTCGCCGGTTTTGATTTTGAGGCGGACATGGGAGCCGACTACGGGAACCGACATTGCACAGTGTAACTCATAATTAGATGCAGCGGCTACAGGCTTCGGCCGTTGGCGTGCGCAAGAGCAAAACTGCCCAGGTTTCTCTGCAACAAACACGACAGATGAAAGTCTCTTGAATCCCGCATGAATCAACTCACCTGGTGTCCTTGGAAGCAAACAAATCACGCAGCACGCGAGCCCGGTAAGCTGGCTCGTATGCCATGATGGTCATTGGATACAACATGACACAACACAACCCAAACACTCCATGGTATTGGATCGTTTATGTTTACATTGACCCCTTTTCAACCACCCTGGTCCTCCAGTTCGCTTCGAACTCCCTCGTCGTTCCGTTCGCCACTCCTCCCGGTTCACTCTCGGTCGACTCGGCGGGACCGCCGGTGCGGCCCCGAGGATCCGCCTCGTGGTCCTTCGGCTGTTGGGAAGCCTCTTGAGAAGGTGCCTTAGGAATTTATATAGATCATCTTTGAAATGACCATGGAGGGGTGTCTTTTGTTCAACACGGATTTATTTGAATTTGGTGTCTTTCCTTTTTTGTTGCGGGAATGTCGGAACGCCTATGCTATGCTGCTATCATACGCGATCCGTCAGCTGAATTCTGCTGCATAGAACAACTCACAAACGAACAAGCCTGTGCATTTGTGTGTTGTAACCACTTGCAAACATTGTAGATACTTGTGAAAGCTTGTGAATGCTCGACTGATTGAAGAACACGTTTGATTTCTCTTCACCCCACAATCCGACTCTCTAGCCTCTGGGCATCTGGCTATGACTTTGGCAGGGGTCTCCAAGATGGCCATTGCGGCCTCAGACCAGAACCCCCAAGAACACGGCTTGCAAATTGCAAAGTTCCAAGAAACACATCCGAAGACCCAAGACCTGCCAAAAAGAAAAAACAAACCACCGACCGGAAAGAGATGCTTGCTGTTTTTTTCACACCAAACAACCCGATCAAACAAAACTGCCACCGGGCAGCACCGCACATGCCGCCGTATCACGCCATCCGACCGACTCTCTGTTGGTCCGAATGGCCGCTTGCTGTCTGTGCTCAAACGATCGATTTCTAAAGGTTCTTAGGTGCATCAAATGTCTCATTAATTCACGTGCGCTTGAACTGAGGGAACATGACGAGTCGAAGGTATCAGTATGTCACAAATCACAAATGCCATCAAATGCCTAATCTCAACCATTGACATCCAGCATATGTCTGAGATTGATGTACTGTTCGGTTCACATGAGACGCTCCATCCCGCCCATTCGGTCCTATCCCGGACGCTCATTCGGCTCTCCGACGGGATCGTCTTGGCCGAATTCCAAGACCATCGGCGCAGCCGGTGCCTTGCCATGCCCGTTGAACGGGGGCGGGAGTGGCAAGACGTAGACCCACATCAGAAAAAACGCAAAGGCTGCCTTTAGGCATCAAACAAAAACAGCATCAGTGACCAACACAGAAAACAACAAGAAGGCCCATCAGTGTGTTCGCTCAAGATCGCTCAACATGCAGGATGTCAAGCTTCAAAGGCCTCAGATTAGTCCTGTTTTGTAGCCTCTTCTCTACGCTCTATAGCTGCTCGGGCTACTCTTTAGCTCACTGCCACGTGGCAACGGATTGCTCGCTTCCGAATCTCTGATCTTTAAATCTTGCTTTGATTTGCTTTGGACTTCAAGGCCTTGAGAAAGGACACACCAAACACTCCATGGGACTGGTAATAAATGCTTACATTTAGACGACCAAGTCCCATGGAGAGTGTCTGGGTTTTCTGCATCGTGGGGCTAAGCTTTTGGCTTCTGCGCACTCTGCGACCGGTGCCTCGGGGGTGTTTTTTACGGAGTGACCGGGGCTTCAGGTCGCAGTTGATCTCCCCCCAAAAATGAACCATAGAATGAGCATGGATTGAACCGTTCTAAAACACACAACATACACAAAGTCATGAGCTCGCAGAAGGACAACGCGTTGGAGACCGTCGGGACAGCTCGCATGACCTGCGAGCTGTCCCGACTCGTGCAAAGTCTGCACAAGACCTTGAAACCCCGACCTTCCACATTTGGCAAGAACCATTTCACGACCTTCCGAGTGGTTGACGCACAAATGGCATCCGTTTGGGTGCCATGTGTTTTCAGTGCTCGCCCCTGGTGACCGCTTGCTTGTTTCGTGGAAAATCCTTTGGCTAACATTCCGTGGATGCTGTTGATAGATCAATCCGAGTCAACCTTCGGTCCCAGGTCTTTTAGTAAAACATGTTCCAAGCCAAGCAATGCCAAACCACTTCGTCGCCAGCTGTAACTCCATGAACGGCAAAGCCCTGAGAGTCATTACATGAGCCAAAAAAATGTCAGGACTTGGGCACCGAGCAAAAGTGGCGAAAATGGGTTTTACCCTTGTCTTTGAAAGGCATGGTTCTATCGTGTTCTCAACAGTTGATTTTTCAGATCGATATGATGTCAAACAACTGGATCCGTGTGACAGAATTTGAAGCCTGAATGGCTGGACGATACCCTTCATACGATGTTCTTTTGTCTCACACCGCGCCAGGCGGAGGCGACGACTGCGCAAACCTTGCTCCGTTCGTAGGACGGCCAGGAGCCCCGTTCGTAGCGAACCTTGTTCCGTTCGTAGCGATGCCCGAAATGCTGCTCCGTTCGTAGCCTTCGCCTCGTCGGCAACGTTCATTGGTTGAATAAGATGTTCGAGACGTGGCGAATGGCTTCTTGAGAGCCCGTCAGCAAGTCCTCTTGGTGGATATTCAGATTGGCCAGCAAATAGGAAAAGAGCGCCAGGAAACCGGTGCCACAATGCAAATACACTCGGCCAATCAGATTGGAGTCAATCAACACCCCGCGCACCTCCACCCCTGCACGATTGGTTCTCAAGTACTGCAAAAAACGGGCATGGTCTGCACGCTCGTCGGCCAAGTCGTTGTAGCCAACAGATTTGCAACCAGCATCGTTTTTCCAGGGACTCTTACCTGATGCTGCGATGGCTGAGGCGAGGATGCTTGTCATTGGAGTTTTCGTCGCCGTGGACATGCACATCCTGAGATTGGTGGAGTACCCCAGAAGAGCCTGCCTATGGAAGATCAATTCTGTTACCATGGTTTGTTTGGGTCATTGTGGCCAAGTCCAAGGCACTATTTTTTTGCGCTTTCGTGAGCCTGTATGTATGGTGTCATTTTATAGAGTTACAGTACTTACAGTACAAGGATTGGTTTTGAACTACAAGTGTCAGCTCCTTGCAAATTCCAGTAAAAACATGGTGCCCGTCATCCTTACCACTTTGCGACAAAGTCTGCAGACAGCGGCCCAAAAATGGCCGTCGTCAACGTTGTTCTGTCACTGCCAACTCTTTATATACATGTCATGTAGAACTTGCGCTTGTTCGCGTTCAGTCGGCGGTTTTGCTTGCGTTCAGTCGGCGGTTTTGGGACGATATAGTCAACACACCATCCAACAGCTGCACGCCGGCTCGCTTCTTTTGACCTGTCCTATAGGCGTTTGATGGCGTCCTGGGCGCTAGCGCTCTTCGCGCTTCGACAACTCCATCTTGGCATGAACCGGTGCATCTGCGCGTCAGAAAACAGCGCCACAAGGGATCGGGGAACAACATGTTTGCTGAGATAAGTCTATTCACAACACACTAAACAAAGAGAAACCAAACTATTTAGGCACAACTCCCTCGAACTGTGATGCGATCAGCCAAGGCTAGGCTATATCTCCCCGGTCCCCCACCCCACCCGAACCAATTCTCATGGGGGTTTCAAACAAAAACAAAAAAACAAATGGGGGATTCCGAGCGTCGCCGTGAGCTTGTTTGGTTCGCTTCAAACATCATCGTTGTTTTACCAACAGTGTCAAAATTTGTGCAACACATGGTGAGCACTCATGTCTCTTGCATCTGGGTAGCTTGGTAATGCTTGCCATTTCATCTAAGCGGTTCGTCACCTCAAAGAGCATGATCAAAAGGATGGGCAAACCAGCTAATGCCAAAGAATCGGAGCGCGTTGCCAGACCTGTCAAGCAAGCAACCAGGCCAATCGTCCCGAAAGCCACGCTTGAGATGAAATGAGGCAGGACCATCCACATTGCAAGATCCCAAATCGTTTCTAGCGTTCCTCAGGCACGGGCACTGGCTGTTTCAAAGGAATTGGATCCACGTATCCAGCGCAATTTATGGACTAAACGTTGTTGCTGAGTGTTGAGGGGTTTCTGTGCAGGAGACCATCCAGCATGATCAACTTCAGTGAGAACTGAGCGCAAGCTGCCGCGCAGCAATCAATTCTCAAGGTTATGGGCCACCACACCGGGGCTTCCGAAATAAATTGAATGGATCGTTTATCCACACCAACAACTAAAGTGTATATTGATCCAAGGTACGGTCCATCTTTTTGTGTTTTTCTGTCATCTCCTGCCAGAACTGAGCAGGTTTTCCAGGCGCCTTGCGCTTGGCAGCATGTTCGATGTCTTCAATTAAACCTTTCACGTGGTGATGGCTCAACTTCACCACCAAGGTCTGAATATAGAAGCAGCCAGGGCAAAAAAACACCAAGAAGACCACTGCTAACCTGAGCAACAAGCCGATATAAGCCGATGTTGGCCCTCCACCGCTGCATCCATGTCTCTAGTGCAATTGATGTGGCAGCTCGAATAATTCCCACTTCAAGAATTTATTAGGAAACCGGAAGGGCATATGCGGAAGGCCAAGTATCCTGACAATACCCGACAAACGCCTGACGATTGCTCTGGCATCAAATCCCTCATGTGTCAACCTTTTTTGCCAAATGTAGGAGTGGCTACTACTTGGTAGCAAAACTCACGAGCCCTCATCGCACAAAGAGCGCGTAGGAAACACAGCTGCGCAAGGTGTGTAAAAGGAACACTCGATGGTCTTTTTTAAAGCAAGCTCGCACACGGCACTGTGTAGTCTGACATCTGTTCTGGCACGTAATCCGACGTTCCGACATCAAGTCTTGCTTGCGTGTGCTCAACTGGTCTGACACGTAGTCTACTGATACTTAGCACAACACAGTGATGTTGGGGACGTGTCGTGGGAGCACGGAGGAGGGGGGGGAGGAGGAGGAGGAGGAGGAGGAGGAGGGGGGGGAGGAGGAGGAGGGGCCTGACATAATTGTAGAGACCCTCATCTGAAAGGTAGGGAACAAAAACATGTCCAACAAAAAACTTGTATGGAATAAGCTGAGATACAGCCACGCAAGGAGGTACATGGGATCTGATTCAAAAGCTGGGCAAAGAGGAATACCTATCAGCAAAGCGTAGCCCAAAAGCCTTGCGATCAAGTTGAGCATGGGCAGCCAATCGAAATCAAACCGACGCCCTCGCCAATCCGAATCCTTTTCATTGAATTGGTCATCATCTGCAGTAAACGCCGGTGCTTGCGAAGACTTGACGCGTGTGACCAGCTTTCTGAAACTTGTGTCGTGAAGAATGTGTGTAGCACCATAGGCTGAAGAAATCCCACAGAGCGTGGCTATGGCACACATGGCCCCGGCCAAATTGAAGGCTTTCCTTCGAGAATGGATGAGGAACATATGCTGGGATCAAAAAGTGGACCGGCGAAGACCCCGACCACACCTCTTCTTCCAGGAGTTATGGGGAGAACTAGGCCGGCAAACCTCGTTTGCCAAGCCCTTTCACGGTGTGTGATTTTTAAAAACATGAACATTTGGCAACGAATAACTCCAAACACATCCTCCAAGCTACTTGCCCAACAGGGCGACAATCTGCTCATTGGGTCTCACCAAGCAGTAGATGCATGCTGATATGGTGGCGAAGGCGCAAAGCCTACCCGGGAGTGCGAAGCAAAAGTGCTGAAACCATCTCCTGCCATCGTCCACAAAATGCCGAGAGGTGTCTGTGGAGGTGGAGTTGATCCCTAGACGACAAACAAATTCGGTTCAAACTCGTGATGTTGTGATGGCGCTCACACGTGTTGCTTACATCGGGATAGTGGTGCAAATGGGCCCGTTCACCAGTTACATAGAGAAGCGGGTGCGCGACCGACAAGCGACATGATCGTGTCGTAATTGTGAAACCAGACCCCAAGCAAAACACAGTGAATGCCATCCAGGCAACCAAGAACTTTTAGACCTATAAGTCTCCATACAACTCCCCGTTGTTAAAGGCTGGGTGTTTTGTGTTTCTCCCGCCAGTCAGGAGCGGTTTGCATTGATTGGGGAGAGCACCCTTTAACCTTGGGAAGTCAAATGACAGAGTGGCATTCTGTCTCTGACTCACAATCTGGCACACAACCCTGGGAACGATTCCATGTTCTCTTTGGCCGTCCGCACATGTCCCCCACCCCAGTCCTGGTGCCAGGGCCTAAAAGACCGTTGCGTTCCAACCTTTGCCAAATGCTCACCAACTTGTCATCCACATCACTGTCTGGACAGGTGCTGCGTGCGTGAAATGTGTCCCTTGGGCGGAACGGTTACTTTAATTCAAAAAGGTGTATATATAATGTCATACTCCCTTGCTATGCTTATAGCATCTTGTAAGGTAACTCCACTTTAAGTGCATATATATACAAATATGAAAACATATAAATACCCCGTTGCTACCGACTATAGAAGTTCACCCCCTCATTTTATCCAGAAATTGGGTAAACAGAATTATATAGATACATGTAATATCATGTAATCTGAAAAGTGAAAAAGACAACGTTCTCAATGTTATCAAAAAACAATTAGCTTTTTTTCACAAGCTTGCAAATCTTATTTAAGACCCATTTTAGAGAACCGTGGTCGATCACACTCATTTCAGGTAGCAAGTAACTGAGATGAAGCATGCAAACCCAAGCCTTCAAACCTGATGCATAACTATGCATATTGGCCCTGGCTTCACTATAAACGAGAACCTTAACTCCACGCAGAACACTTAAAAGTCAATAGGTTTCCATACAACTGAAGGTGCCCTTTGCTAGAGGCTCGGAGCTTTGCTTTTCTCCGGCCTGCCAGAAGCGGTTTACATTCGTTGGGGAGAGCACTCTTTAACCTCGGAAATAGAATGACAAAGTGATACAACATGTCCCTTCAATTAAGAACAAACAAACCCAAACGGTGTTTGGGACTCAGGTTGTACATGCAACCACACAACCTATTGAAACCATTCTACCTGTTCACAAAAGACCGTCACTTCGAGTGATCCCCACCATGACATTTCAATCTGACAAGTTTTTCTGGCATGTGTTGAAACATTTTTTCGGCATTCTTTCTGGCATATCTTGTGACACTTTTTCCCGCATATCTTCTGACATTCTTTCCGGTGTATCTTCTGACATTCTTTCCGGTGTATCTTCTGACATTCTTTCTGGCGTATCTTCTGACATTCTGGCGTTCTATCTGGCATATCTTCTGACTCGCAGTTGAGGTCTGGCCGGGAACACTGCCCGCCGGTGCTCGCGGTTGAGGTCCAGCGGGGAGAGGACGAGGACGGCAGCTGACATAAAATCTAACAACCCTCACCTGACAGGTGGGGAACGAACAAATATCCCCGCCCCAGCCCTGGTGTTGGCGCATTGTTCCAGCTTGCCAAAGGTTCAAGCCTTGCTCTGACTGCGAGTCGTAGTCCGCATCACTGTCTGGGCAGGTGCTGAATTCGTGGAGCTTGCCAACACACTTCTTCTTAAACATTTTGAACACAAGGATCGTGATGATGCTCACTTCGGTATCGACACAAATCGTCACAACATATCACAAATCTAATCTACCTTTTCAGTACGTATTGGCTGCGCAACCGAAAAACAATGAATCCTGTCGCAAGTGTGAATGCAAGCCTTAGACTCGAAGCAGAAACAGTGAATTCTAGAACACTAAGACTAGGTTTCCACACAACTGAAGGGCTTCTTCTCCGGCCCGCCAGAAGCGGTTTACAATTCGTTGGGGAGAGTACTCCTTAACCTCTGGAAATAGAAGGACAAAGTGATGCATGTCTCTTCCAAGAACAATCAAACCCAGACAGTGTTTGGGACTCAGGTTTGTACATGCAACCACACAACCTATTGAAACCATTCTATCTGTTCACAAAGGTATTGGGCCCTAAGACGCATTGTTCCAGCTTGCCAAAGGCTCAAGCCTTGCTCTGACTGCGAGTCGTAGTCCGCATCACTGTCTGGGCAGGTGCTGAATTCGTGGAGCTTGCCAACACACTTCTTCTTAAACAATTTTGAAAACAAGGATCGTGATGATGCTCACTTCGGTATCGACACAAATCGTCACAACATATCACAAATCTAATCTACCTTTTCAGTACGTATTGGCTGCGCAACCGAAAAGCAATGCAATCCTGTCGCAAGTGTGAACAGTGTGTGAACGCAAACCTTGACTCCAAGCAGAACACAGTGAAGTTCCGATTCGCTAAAGACTCGGGCAATCATTGGGGAGAGTATCCTTTGATCCCTGGCAAAAACTGAACTCCCTTTCATTGAAACGAAACAACTTTGGCCAACATTTTAACGCAAATAAGATCGAATAGGCAGAGAGCAAATTATTGAAACGAAATCTATGTGTGGTGAGCCCTTCTTTCACAAAAGTATTCCCATGCACCTATCCCCACTCCACTCCTGTGACTGAACAGACTCCAAGCCTTGCATTGACAGCAAGTCGTAGCACCCATCAGCCACATGTGCAGAACGCGACGATGCGAGCGCCATGTGTCGTGTCGAACATTTCACAAACGATTCGGTCAGACCAGCCGACCAGCCGTGCGCCTTGAGCCCATCTGCTCCCACACAATTCGGATCCACGCAAGCACAATGTGAGAAGCTGAGATCTGCTAGTCTTAGACCAAGAAGCAATTCCGCCATGGAACACGTAGCTTTTCAGCCATACCAAAGGCGCAGAACACCATAGAGAAGGGGGTTCACGACGTCACACGTCCAACGTGAACGTCCCGAACTGGAAGAGGCTGTCCAACATGCTCAGCTGAAACCACTCCTTCAACCGCCCTTCCTTCACATCCTTTCACTGTACGAGTACATTCTGACCACCTCCCGAAGTAAACCAATGGTGGGCCTTGTTCCGGGCCCCAAAGGGAACGCGTCGTCTCCTCCGGTGTCCGCTCGCTCTCGTCGTCCGGCTGGTCTGCTCGTCCTGGGTTCGGCTCCCCTTCGGCTCCCCAGCGGAGCGAGTCAGTCTCTGCGGCGTCGCCAGGGTGTCTTCGTTGCTCTCCTCGGCAGGACGTCCGTCCGGTCCGAGACGGTGTGGGACGACGTGGGCTCGGCGAGGTGATGCGAGGTGTATTGGAGAGATCAAGTCGGTGATTTGGAGAGTGAAACCTGTGGACTTCCTTAAAGTGGAAGAAGGAGATGACTAGGGAAGCCATGGTGACTCTGATGCAAACATCGTCCGATTCTAACATATACATCCTTTACCAAAAAGCACACAACAAAAACTCTCCCCCCAGACATGTAATATGACGTTCGACCAATTTTTTGGGTACAGCTTACAGTTTCGCCCTAAAAGACTTTCCAGTTGCCAAAACGGTCGCTTTCGCCCCGTGAGGCTTGGACAAAGGTCTGGACATTGCTTTGCAGTGTCATGTCCTGCGCAAGCTCGTCGGCCTTTTGAAACGGTCCCTCTAAGCAGCTGCGCAAGGCTTCTGGGTGCGGGAGAAACGGTTGAAACCTTTTGACGACCTTGATGTCCCTTAGAAGGTGCTGATCTCTCTAGAGTTTAGAGGAGGGTTTTCTGGATATGTCTTATAGTGTCTCGAAAGGATTGCGTGCGATATCTTGCCTTTGTGTTCGCTTTTGGGGTCGCATGGCGTCTCAAACGCTTATATTTGAGAGAGATTGATGCGGTTCCGCAACCAACCGCCACAATTCGCAAAGAAATGGGCGAAACAACACTGGACCCACCACAGAAGTCTTCAATGCAAGCAACGCTGGACCCACCACAGAAAAGTGCAACAGCCTCGTGATATTCCTTTGCTACCACCCTCCTTCCGTTGAACAGAACATGAAGGGAAGATGTGAAGGGAACCCCCTTCTTCACATACATCTACCCCGGCGCGATCTGTGACAACCCCGCGGAGAGTGGGTGTATCAATCCCCACCTGGAAAACATCGTCCCATCCATGTGTTTCAGGGTTTTTCTCCCCCTCCGAAAGATCATCTCCAGTCCTGTGAAAAATCCTGTGCACCTTGGAAGAGTTTGTTCAGATCTTCGAAGATTTCCTTGGTCTTTCCCTCATCCACCTTAGCGCGTTTCCGCGCGTAAGCGTGCCAATTGGCGCGTGACTGGCTGTGAGCCAGGGATGGGATACGAATGGAGACGACATGATACGACACACCAGTGATCCAGCCAGCCAGCCAGCCAAACTTGAGTTGATTCACCGAGCCAAAAAAGACCTCAAACAAGTGACAAATGGGATACATACGGGTCCCTGAAACGCCTAAAAGTGGTTGTGATTCCTTCTCTACGACCCTTCCATGAGTTCAGGACTTGCAAACAAGATCAACAAAGGACCATTTATGGTCGACATGCCTAGAAGTTTCAGTCTCTACTAGTAGCTGGACACAGGAATGTCCTCTGTTCAGGTCGTCCTGTCGAAAGCAAACTTAGCGCCTCCCGGTGTGGCAGGATGGCGGGACTGCGTCTCCGGGTGAGATGGCTTCCACTCGGTCCCAGTGGTGCCATGGGCACAACTCCCCAGCCAAGCAGCTTGGGATCCCAATACGCTCTGACTCACTGGCATGGAAGTGGAAAATAGAACCCCCGGAAGAGAACATGGCTCTACGAACCAAGAGGTTTTCCATGGTTTTCCACTTCCATGTTGCAGACTCGGAAAGTAGATCCTATCTTGAAGCTCTGGCTCTCCTATATATATATATAACATTATATAACCGTGTGCCACAGCGTGCAGCTCGTGTGCAGGAGTCACCAGATGGGGGCGGACGGTTGAGTCCCATCATGTGACGTCGGGGAACCACCCCAACGGACCATCCGTGCGGACCATCCGATCCCTCTTCGCTCTCCGTGTCCGAGCTTCCCAGGCGGAGCTCTCGATCTGAAGGATCCCCTCCGAGAGCCACCTAGGGTGGACGCCGAATCTGCGCTGCAGGCGGGCTTCGGGAGGTGGCTGGGATCGCTTCGCAGCGTGTGGCGGGACCTTTTAGGATCCACACATGGAGACCTCCCAGTTTCGCCCCCCTGGCAGAAATAGACCGCCCAAGTGGGCCAGGGTGTCTCCCTGACCGGCTTCGCTGCTGCGCGCGGCTGAAGGTTGCAGACCGAGCGACACCAGCTCTGCCACGCCGGGTGCCAGCGTTCCACAGGCTTTCAGCGGCTCGAGGAGCACGGTGAGACGCCTGAGGCGAGCCATGAGCACGGGTGGACGAGCCACTCGTAGCCGCCATGGACGAGCCACCATTCACTCTTATTCTCTACAGCACCCACCAGCAAATTGTGGGGTACATTACAAAGACATTTAGCCATTAATAATATATATCTTTTATCCTGTACTTGTCCCATTCATGGAAGATCATGGAAACGTATGTCATTTCTGTTCCACTTCCACCAATCGCTCATAATCGCTTCAGCATCGCTTTTCTTCGCTTCCTGTTCTTCATGCCCTCAGTCGGACTAAGACACCGCGCAAGGGGAAGCCGCGCGCCACCACAGCGTCGGGATTCTGCACCTGAGGCCGATGTCGGACGACCGAAGAGCCGGCGTCGGCCGATGTCGGTTCCGAGATGGTAAAGAGTATCTGGGAGAGAGAGATGACTCAGAGCCAAGCTGAGCCAAGCACAAAAATGAAAAGAAAAGGAACACATATACTTATAGACATGAAACATACAAAACGCTACACCTGTACACATGTTTGGGCTCAAAACACCATGCGCCGAGGTGGGGCCTCACCCCGGGCACCAGCCAGGATACGTTGGAATGTGTTGGATGCTCAACATGAACCAACCAACCCCAACCGAGTCTGGCACAGAACTGCTACACCTCGATTGGTCCAGGGCTCCGGACGAAAACCCATGGAATCTCAAACTCCACCTGCACCTTAGTGACACGAACAGTTCACACACAAACGCATGCGCGGAGGCCAAGGCATGCGAAGGTGCAGGCGGTGCAGGCTTGTGGGTGTGGAAGAGAAACGCACTACAAATGCAACAAATGTGACACATGCACCAAACTTGTTACTCTTAGCATGATCGCTGTGCTTTGCGCACGTCAAACAACATGTGTAGGGGGAGTCTATAGTCGTCTCGTCGTCCCTGTGGAAAGACATTCTGATGACTGGTTCATTTTCAGAGTCTTCAGATTAGACATATATTGAAATGAAAGGAAGGGAATGCATCTCAACAACCCATCCATCTATTTCAACACCCATGTGCATCACCCATCTCGCCGCCTCACTGACCTCTTCGGTGTTCAACAAACCTGTCAGAGACACATCCACTGCACGCAGAGTTTAACTCTGTGCGTCTTCGCAACGGTCAAGGGCCATGCCGCATGCCACAGTCACTGGAGAAAACCTCTGGTGAAAGGACTTGAGGGATGATCATAGGTTTTCGGCGTTCCAAAAAGCTCTCGAAACCATTTCGAAGCCACGGCAGGCGCCACCAATCGAAGCAATCAGAATCCATGGGTTTTCGGCGTTCCTGGCCATGACGGGCTGGCAAGTTCGGCTTCTGCCTCCAACCACATGCAAGCTGTGGGAGGAGAAGGTGGCTGCGCACTCATTGGCGCGGAGGCCTCAGAGGAACGGGACCGATGCCAAAGACCCCAAAGAACCGGACAAAAAACACAGAGAACGTTCACAAAATTGCTTCAAGTCGCACTCAAAGACACACACCTTATCACCATCACACACCTTACCTTGCCTGCGCACACCGTCTTTTCAACTGAGTGCCCCCTGCCGCCCCAGCTGATGCTGCAGTCCAGGTAGTGCACCTCTGGGCGCCGGGAGATCTGCAACGCCAAGTCGATGCCCCAGTCCTTCACGTGCTCCGCCGAGACCTCCGAGCGCTCCGCAGCGGTGAAAGCGGCTTCTTTTGTTCTCCGCCGCGCCCGAGGAGGAAGCGGAGACGGAGGTTGTTCGAGGGCCAACAAAAACCGGTGTGGTTCAGTGCGTTTTGTGTTTTGTGTTGTTTTTCTAATTCAATGGGTTGTTCAGTGCGTTCTGCAGGAGGCACCAGCTAAAGAAGGGTGGTGAGATGATGTGAGATGTGGTGTGGGTGGATAGGTGAGTGGGTGGGTGGGTGGCTGGCTGGCTGGATGGATGGATGGATGGGGCTCTATGTTTTTTGCGGTTGATGAATTTCATGGAGGTTGACGGCGGAATGGATGCTGCTTGCTGGTTCGCACAAATTGGAGCAATCATGATCTCTATCAACTCTTGGCAACTTCAAATTCCATCCTTTCCAAACCACACCCCGCTGTAGATCCTAACTTTCACCCCGAATAACACCCCTTCCTCCCTGCGCCCATGCGCACTTATTACTGCGCGTAGAAACGCTCACTGCGCGTCCACCACGCCCGAGACGACCCGCGCACGCGCCTCTTCCTTGAGCTGGCGTGCGACCCTGGGACCTCTCAATGCTGCCAAAAGCTCCAAAGCCGGGGCCTGGCAGCTTCAGCGCATTTCAGCGCTATCGATCGTTCTGAGCTCAGGCGCTGGAGGTGGAGTTGGCAAAGCTCATTTGGGCACAACCCGGGCGCATGCAAGCCTTTGAATGGGTCTGTTCAACATACGGTGATATATAAGTTGATAAGTCAATGAAGGTCAAACCTGCGGTTTATGGCACTGAACTTAAAGCCCCCCTTGACATGAGTGAGCGAGCTTTAGCACTCCCAATGAGCTGCTTAAAGCGTTTCTTGGCTACGCCTTGGCTTCCAGAAGTTGTTCTATGGCTCACAGTGGCCCAAACCGAGGGACTTCCTGCAAACCAGGCCCAAGTATGCCCTCCCTGGGACAAAGCGCAAGATTGCATAAGTTCAAGATACAGCACTTCAATGCATTAAACATATTGTTTGGTAATAATGTAAGGATTGGAAATCATGTTGGTTCATGAGTTCGTTGACAAAGGCTTTCTCCATTCAGTTGTGTTCTTCCAAAAACCATCCCAACAACTCCATTCTAATCTATTCTACCTGTTCCATTGGCTCCGTACACCTTCGCAGCTTCGCCAAGGCAGGCAGCCCAAACAACAGTCCCTGTCCCGGCCTGATTTGGAGAGCCTCAGCGCATGGGGGAAGAGGAGGCGGAGGGATCCCAAAACGATGCCCACCATCTCCCACCATGTCCGCCCTTCCCTGTGCGCGGAATGGACCGAACACCCATGGACGTTCCTGAACCCATCGCTGAAGTGACCGACATGGCTGAAACACATCGAGCGATCAAGCATGTCTGTCGCTCAAAGGATCGAGCGGCACAACAAGAACAACTACAAAGTGTTTTTCGTTTCTTAAACACATTCCACGTCATACAAGTAGCTCCATGTTGCTCCAATGCAATCATTCCACATGTTTCTAAATACCTTCCACATTCCACATTCCACAAGAAAAGCACGTCATTTCAGAAAATATCTTTAAACAAGAACAATTCCTTTTGAGCATCTCCCATCTGCATCCATCTCCGCTGATCGGTGGAAGAGGGCGGAGATCTGCAGGCAAACCCAGTGGTCAATGAAGGATACCTACATTAGGGGTGCCTGTGGCAATTCACGTAGAATCAGGGGCCTGGTCGAGATCAAACATGGTCAGAATCGGTCAAAGTACATCAAAATACCTGTCATCCATCAGACCATCAACTTTCAAGCAGCAGGAGAAACTCGTCAACATGTTGAGCCCATCTGGAAAGTGTGTCATTGTCAACGTATCCAACAAACAACACGTAAACTCTTGCAGTTGGTTGCCGGGTACATAATTATACTGTACTGGATGATAGAACATTTGATCGGGAAGGGAGGAAGGTCACTTCGTCAAGAGCCCTCTCTCCAAATTCCAGTTCTTCGATCAAACCATGCTCATATATACCTATTTGTTTGCGTCAACTCTCCTTTTGTTTGTATCCTTCATCCCATCTAACTACTGCAACTAGATTTGCCTCCACCCACCACCACCTTAGGACCTTCAGCATGACGCGTCTTCCGACGTCGTCGAAAAGGACGCCCTTCTCTTTCCGTCGGGTGCCCCCAGCCATCGTCTTGACGCCGTAGGCCGCGCCAAAGCATCTCCACCAGCATTTCGTGCAGCTTGGGGTCCTCGTGCTGCTTGCGGCGCTGCGATGCACTCACGCTGCTGGCTCTGGTTGAAAATGGGCGAAGCATGGAAGGGTGGAGGCAAAGGTTCACAGGGAGTGCTTAAGAAAAACTCCACAACAAAGGTGTTCAAAAGCAATTTGATCTGCGACTCAGTGACTCTTTGGATGCTAAAATTTTACAAATATCTCCAAATTCTCTTGGATGGTACTGATACGCCGCTGACCCACATCGCAGCAACCACCACGCAAAAAACACGAAAATGACCACACCTGAGTGTAGACCAAATAAATCACCTATTGAAGATGGAACATAGACTTGAATTGAATATAGACCAAAACCCATTGGTGAGGAGTCTCCCTCTCCAAATACCAACCATCCCCGCGCTAGCCCCCGCCGCGGTAAACGCCCCCGCGAGACCCCGCGAGACCCGCTGGGACGTCCGGACGGGTCGCGCTGCGCACAAGGTCTCCACCAGCCGGGAGGCTCCGGGCTCGATGGTCAAAATGAGGTGCTCCTGAGGGATGGTACAGCCATGTACAGCGGGCCCCAAGGGCAAACCCCAAGCATGAGGACAGGAGCACAAGCCGCTTGCCTGATCTCAGTGTTCATGATACCTTTCAGAACGCAATCTTCTTTCCGCTTTTGGCTGCAGCACAGTCTGCCAGCAGGAAAGCTGTTGGAGGTCTGTCCTGCTCAGCCCTCAGCTCTTGAGAAGCATCCTGTGGCAAGGCCAAGGATCAGGGTGCCCAGCATGAGCCGGATGTGAACAGACGCGGAAATCCAAAAGCAATAGAAGCATAGTTCATAAATGTTCATACATACAGTTCCAAACTAAGTTGCCTTTTCATGTATCTTCATGCATCTTCTATCCTTGAGGAATAAACCCTTCCATATCCTTCCCTGCTATCCCGCTCCGTCTTTCTTCTTCTTTTCCCAAGAAAAACACATAAAAACAAAAAGCAAACCAGCGCGACCTCGGTCAACACCGACGTCGGGTCCTCAGCTCCTTTCCAGCCCCCCACGTCCGTTCCGCTCCTCGCCTCCAAGAGCGTATTCAACACATCTGCTAAGGCCCGCCGGGCTTGCAGCCTCGGTCATGGCGTTTTGGACACACTGGGGGGGTCATGGCGTTCCATGACTCTGAAGCAATCGAACAACAACACACATGAGTCATACCTGGCTTATCCTGGCTTGGTATTGCATGTATTCAGCTCTTCACCGGTCTGCTTGTGAGGATGTACACATGTACATTTTTTGCGGCGCCGCATGGACATGTGGTGTTCAGGAAAGGATTCACCGAGTGCGGTCTGCTTGTTTGACTGATTCAGTGCTCTCATGCAATTTGCACACTTGTCCCCAAATCATGCCAAATCCAATGTCTCCTCCTGTGCATCGAAGAAATAGGATCTATGTCTATGACTGAATAGCTAATTACAGTAGCATTGTTTGGATAGCCCAAAGTTACAAGCACATGCAAACATTGGGGCTCCGGACATGTGGAAAGCCAACGTCCCTGCAGCGCGGCCTAGGCGATGGTCAAGCGCGATAGCAGTGGTGTACCGCTTGACGACTTGCTGGGCAAAAAACATCAAAAAACAACTCATTGGGGTCTGCTTGCTCATCACTTGCTAATCGGACTATTTATTTCCAATCTTTTTTGTGACAATACTAGGCGCCGCATCTTTCTATTCTATCAGATGCATGTAGGATCCTGTCTGACACCATTCCAAACATCTGTTTGGCCACGTCTTTTCCAGCCAACACACGTAGACTCCCCATGGATCCTTGACCAGAAACTGGCTAGTCTGCCGCTTCCGTGTGACTCCGTGAAGTGAACTAATTATTCCAGAAACTGGCTAGCGGCTACCAGGCAGCTATACACCATCTGTTGAATTTATGGAATACATGGAAACAAAATGAAACAAATGTATGTATCTGCATGTATCTGCAGTTCCTTTGCCTTCTTTTTTCACAAAAACAGCCAGAAGTGGCCTGGCCCATCAACGGGACTTGTCCGAACCAACGCCCACCGTGGTCCTTCTTGGTTTTTGGGGGCCCGAACCAATGCCCACCCAACCGGAGCAGCCCACCCGAACATCCTCGGATCCTGAGCTTCTCGGACCCTCGTGGCACAGCCTTGGCCCCGGAGACGTCGCGGCGGCACAGAGCAAACCGCCTCGGGTCGGACTCCGCGCGGAGCGCCGGCTCCGCGGCGAGCCCAACGCGCCCAGGCCTCCTGGGCCTGGTAAAAAGGGGCAAGTGGAGGAAGCCAATCCAATAGATTTAAATTAATCATTCATCCTTCTGCAGGTTCAGGGGGAAACTCACCCTGGGCCAACAGATTGAAGAATTGTTCTTTCGCTTCTTCATTCCATTGTGCCGAACGACAGCTGAACGTATTGCTGAGTTCGTCAGCTCATGTCAGCTCCACAGCCCTCTCCCGACTGGTGTCCCGACTGGCCAGGGCAGGGAGCAGCTGATCCGCTCGGCGGTTCGCGCTCAACAGCAAGCCACACAAGGAGGTCACCAGTGCGGAGAGCCTCAAGGATAACATGCTATTGCCGTGACATTGTTTGATCTCGTTTGTTGCTCTGCCGTTGGATCTCGGAACGAACGAACCAGACATCCCGGTCACTCGACCGAGCCGGGCAGCGTCTGCTTGGACTCCATCTCTTCCAGTTGGCCACCTGGCAGACCCCCCGGGCGCTGGCGCCACAACTGGCGCTGGACTTCGTAAGGTATCGTTGGAGCAGTGAGCAAAGCCTCCAAAAGCATGCACGACCTGCGGACTCTCAGTGTTCATGAAGAAAGAACTATTCTGGACATTTCTGGACTATCCGGGTATCTATCACTGCTCTACTTGAGAACTGGGTGTCCTTTTGAGAATGATGATTCACAGCCCACGACTATAGTTCATGGCAAATGCAGTCGGCATATTCTGATAAAAGCAGTCTGTCTATTAGCCTTTCACACTGAACCTATAATTGTATTAATTACCATAGTCTGCTTCATAGTTGATCTCCGCCCACTCACTAACCTTCAAACAATCGCCAGCCCTTCAGACCCAGTCTCCGGCCAGCTCCAAGTTTTTGGCCTGGCAACATACTCTCCTCAAGCATCCTGCCGCGTCGCGTCCGCTGCGTCACCGACCCATCATTGGTCGTTCGGGCGATTCGTCGTCAACGGCCGGTGAGAACCCCAAGCGTTGACCAAACGCTCTGTGTCATGTCATATGCGTGTCATGTCGGCACTGAGTGCGCCTGAGTCACGAACCCGACCACGAGTCAAGAAAATATAGCTGAAGTCTCTTCTGGCTGTGGGGGGGACAAGAATGAATCAAGAGTCTCCATCTCTCTAACCTCACTTCCGCTCTCCGGCCACCACCTGCCGCCCCTTGGCACCCCCCACTCACCGAAGGATGCCACCACCAGCTGAAGCGCGGCCTGAAACCTTGCGGGACACGGTGACGCCCGACCCAAATGCTGAGCTGCCCAGCTAGGGCTCGGCGGAGAGAAGAAAAGGAAACACGCGATAAGACATTATCATGAAACTGTCATAAGAAATCCAACAATTATGTGAAAATTTGCGTGAGAAAGAAGTCTCCAAGCGAGTCTCCAAACGAGTTGCTCTCCCCCACATCCAACTCTTTTCAGTTCGCAAACAACGCCTTACAACCTCTTACAAACGTATTCTGATAATATCTGATAATTAGGGTCAGTAGAATGGTCAGGGGATTTCATGGGTCATGGGACAATCACGTTAATATGGCCTAATCTGTGGCCTTTTCATCCAACTCATGGTATTCCGTAGGTCCATGCGTTTTCATCCCGCCGGCCCCGGTGAGGCCGTCGCCGTCGCCTGTCGCCGCCCACCTCTCTCGACTCTGAGGACGGCGCTTGTGAATGAACTGATCTTCCTGTCCACGGATCCAGCAAAGCGAGGTGGGACGTCCGATGCTATTGGAACCTTCAGAATGAAATAGGCAGGCGGGCTGTCAGTTTCAGGATGTTTCAGGCTCCAGGGTTTCCTTCTCATGTTTGAGGTGTGAAGATGGTTGGAAGCATCCTGTTTGATTCCCTAAGTGATGTTTTCTGGTCTCTTTATGGTTTCTTCATTGTTTATTCCCAAAACATACCAAAACTGATCCGTTCCTCTTTAAGGCGTCCTTCATGCCCGGACGGAAGCGTGTGCTCCAGGTCAGCCGTGCGATGCTCGTCCCAGCGCGATGCTCGACTCACCTCCCACGGCCGTGAATATCGAGCCTCCACCCAGCTAACCAGACCTGGCTCACCAGGCCGAGCAACGCGCAAATCGTTCGTACAGAAATGCTGGCAGGTGAGCTGATAATGGAAGATCTGGTCCAGATCTGGAGGTTTTAGTTTGATACCAAGCTCTTCTACAAGTGCTTGTAGATCTATCTCCATAATGTTGACCTATTATATAGACATGCATGCGGGAGGCAGACATGGTAGATCTTTGGGTGGGTAGTAGCAAATCGATCTATATATGCCATATATGCCGATCAGTTGGGGTGGTTGAAAAGGGGTCTGGCTTGATCGGCAGTCCTAGGGCAGTCCCATGGGTCGTGCCTGGGTATATCGATCTTCAGTCCACAAGACTCTGTCGTTTCGATGATCGAAGGACTCTGTCGTTTGACGCTGCTTCTAGACGCTGCAAAAACAACTTCAAGCCTTATACTGCTAGTATAGTAGCTGTTTAAAGCAGATCATCAGCTGCTTAGGAAGGTAAGTATACTACTAAGATCTACTAAGTCTAAGTTACCTAAGTAACTAGTACAGTTGTGCTGGGTCGGCCTTGATCCAGGTTAGAGCACTCTTCCATGACCTGGTCACGCAGATAGTGTGATGGACCACACACACAAGGGAGGTTCAAACCACGGCGAGGACATCGTCCTACTTCCTGCAGAATTCTGAAGGTCCAACCTACGCGGAACGCCATCTTCTTCTCTTTCCTCTTGGTTACCTTCCCTCCAATCATGGAAGCTGAACGCCGTCACAAATGGAAATTGCCTTCCAGGGGTCCTCTGTTCGCTTCTGAGGATTTCCCAGGTGCTTTATTTAGCAGTTGCATCACCTGGGTGAAGCCATGTTTCATCATGTTTCACCAGTGCTAAGTCTCAGCATCCCCGATGTCCAGCACTCCCTGCAAAGGACTCTTCGGCCCAGTCGGGCGCCACTGCGAGCTCACCGAGCTCCCCGGGCGTTGGAGCACACCAGTGCCTCTTCCCAGGCGCTCTGGCGGATGGCCTGCCGGCCGTCGGCCCGACGCTTCGTGCCGAAGGCGGTTCGGCCTCGTCGCAGGTGTCAGTGGCGTTGGTCTCGTCTCGTGAAGCCGGGTCAGGAGATCGATCCATGTCAGATCAGCTGTTTAGGAAGCCTCGAGACGGAGGAGCCCAAATTCCGTCCGATGCGCTTCCTACCAAACTGCTCATGTTGATGGAAAACCTCCCTTTCCTACAACCTCTGGATGCCAAAAAGATCCAAAAAGGATCAAAAAGGACTTTGCAAGTGTCAACCTCATGCATGGCATGATGCATCCATGTTCAACCCATGTTCCACCCATTTTCAGCATGCACCGGGCCCATCGCCCCCACACCTGCAAGGTCATGTTCAGCAAGTGTCTCAAGGCATCCTTCGACAAGGACCCCTGCGCCAAGATGTCGAACCGTGAGCTATCCCTCGAACCGCAGCAAACATGCTTTCGTGGAGAGTGGCCCCCCATGTTTGGTATTCGGATTTGAATAGATTTCCTGGTCTTTCCAAAAAACCAAGCCATCCACCTAACCACGAGGACGTTGGAGAGAGCATGAGAGAGCACTTCCCACGCCGACCGTTGCTTTGGATCCACAGCTTGGACCTAAATGGTGGCCGATGAGTCGCGCTTGAGGGAGGCAAGGGGAATCAACATGTCGACATTGTTTGAACCCATCTTCCTGTAGACCCTTCACTATGAAATCCCCATCCATACCCATCCACAAGTTTCACCAATCAATGGAATCTGAAGAGCTCTTACCCAAAATATCCCAACATGGTGAGTGAATGGTTGCATGATTGAAGCAACTTGTCCCCTTGGCCAAGTATGGCCCTTGTCTATTAAACCAGGTCAAAGACATTCAAACTGCCTCAACCACATGCTCGCAGCCGCGCCATGACCGCAGCTGCTGGGTGAGCACCTCAAATGATGCAACATGCGACATGACTTCGGATGGATGTGAATCTGAAGAGATTTGCTTTTACTTCTCCAAGATTTGACGTAGACATGTTGAAATAGTGTTCCATCTCGATATGTTTTCCTTCTTTCACAAATCAACCGTCTACATTGACAATAGTCTACACTGGTCTACTATGGGGGCTACTATTGTGGACATTTGTAGACTAGTCTACTATCTTAGAAGCGTTTCATGGAGTTCCACCATGGGGGCTTCGACTCCCTCCTCACCGTGAAGCACAGGTTCTCGCCTTGTTCCACCAGGCTTCGGACTCGATGGGTTTTCGCTGATTGTTTCGGGAGTTTTGCGGTGTCCGAAGCCCCCAAAGCTCCTGATGGATCTCATGAAGACGCCCTATCTGATAAGAAATGATGGAACATCTCACAACCTGCTTTGGTGAATCCAAGAACCATCTACCCAATTTAGGTATATAGATACATATCCCAATACATCCCATACCTTCCGCAAACATCCCCCAAAACAAGGCAGGTCTCACTGCGGGAGAAGATCGTGGACAAGCCAATCCACGAACGGTGCGGTCTTCTGCGCCCGTGTGGATGATCTTCGCATGGGTTCGACGAATGTAACGGGTTCGACGGTCAAGTGGCCTTCAAAACCCCCCTGTTCAACAAGCAAACATGATCATACATGATCTATGTTGATGCAATGTTCGGTGTCATTTCCACACGCAGCAAGTCCAGTCGACCAATCAAGGTCACAAGCAGAACGCTGCCCCATGAGCCCATCATTGCATCCGACGTCGGCCTCCAGTGGCAGCTCACCCATGAGCAAATCCTCGTGGAAGTTGATTGCAGGGTTGGCTGCCATACAGTGGATGCTAACAGCAACACCAAATAATCCAGAATGGGGCGAACATTCTCATCGCGACCTGGTTGTCACCCTGCATGCCCTGCATCCACAATGGACAACATATGACAACATGCACATCCTAGAAACGTTCACCCGACGTCATGTCGAGCCATTCCTAAAGTCGCAAGAAAGATCGAACCGAGCTGAAGTTCCGGTTTTTTCGCATTTTGCACGTCACTTTCATCGCACGATCCCGATCACCCTCGTCTCGAGGCAGACTCGACACGTTCCCCACCTGAAGGGCATCCAACGAGCCACGCAAGGGACTTCTGGAAGCCTGGCCAAGCAACGGAGCAGCGGCGCGCATTAAGCGGCGGTAAAACAGCAATCGTCTACCACAAGGCATGGAAGCAATGTGTCACCTGAATGTCTCCGGTCTCCTCTGTTTCCCTCAAACAAATGACCACGCATGTTCATGAATTTCTTTCACTGGTCTCTCCACGTAGTTTGCCTATCATTCTAAGAACACTCTACCGACCTTTCAGGCCACGTTTTGATTCCACAAAGCGGTCACTTCTTCTTAAGCACCTGGGCGGCCAGCACCCCTTGCACCTCAGCAGTCCGAGTGAGGAAGCCCTGTGATGAACTAACGCAAGACGTTGCTCATGGATCATACATGATCATACATTTTGTTTGAAATAGGGCTAAGGGCTAGTCGAGTATGTCATTAGAGTTCATTAGGTTTGCATATTGCAACAAACATGTACAAATGTGATATAGTTCATCTCAATGCATGGCTATCTCCACATGCTTCATTCCAACTGATTGGCATCCTTTTGCTTTTCTGTCCCACTCAAAAAGTTCCTTGATGTTCCTTGGCTTTCCAACAATATAATATTTGATAATATTTGCCTTGAATGGGTGGTTCCTCCAACCTCTTCCGAGCTGTCCCATCTCTCTAAGTAACCCTTCATCTCCCCCCAAGCCCCCCCCCCACCCCCCTGGCAGGGCTTCAAGCTCACATCGTTCGAACGCTCAAGTCAGTCACCCACGTTCCCCTCACCCGTCCTCTCCGCCGTGCCAAGCCTCGACACTCCCGACGACCCACCCCACGGCTCACCACGGTTGGGGCCGAGTCGCTGGCGAGGCAACATCATCGCCCTGGTCCATCGCGGCCGGGAGTGAGCGCGGCGGGGAGGACGTCCTCGCCCCGCGCGGCACCGTGAGCTCTGAGCCAAGGCAATGAAGTCCCGCCTGGTCCAATTTTCTTCTGAGATCAACACCAGGATCATATTCTATCAGGAGTTGTTTTGACCAAGATGTTGAAGAGGGCACCTGTTCCGGCCCCTTTCGGGGTGCTGTCTGCTGTGACTTTCATGTCGATTGATCACATCAGCTCAAAACTACTAATCAATTCGATCATATTAGATCTAATGAGTGCATAGGAGTGCTATTGACTGCTGCCACATGCTGCCCTAATACACCTGTTCCTTTCGTTCATCGTGACCCTCCCTCCGCCACACGGGAGGCTCGTCCGCCCCGAGTGCTTTTCCGACGCTGGGCGGCTCGCGCGGCCCCTTTTCAGCTCTCCAGGTGCCGCAGATGCTGATCGATCACCTCGAAGGCTCGCACTGCAGCTTGGAACCTGGGCGTGTCAGACTCGGCCAGTTGCCGTGGCCGGCTCCTGCCCGGTGACACATGACACATCGGATGGGTCTCGGATGACATCGGATGGATCTTCTGTGGCGTGATCTTCTCCTTGTAGGAGGCCTCTTGGCGGCTAGCATACTTGGAGATTCCAAACCAGTTGGTCAAACCAAAGCATCATATGTTCCTTCACAGTTGACCATGTATGTGATTCCTTGATTAACTCTAAAGCATCTAAGCACCAATTGGTCCAACCCCGTCGATCCACACCGAAGCTCCTGCTATCAAGCCACTGGGCAGTCCACTCCGCTGCGGCTTCTTCTTCCAATCCTCCGAACGATCTGACCACTCCGACCAACTTGATCGTACCACTCTGAGAGTAAGCACCATTCCCAACATTCCCAACATTCCCAGACTCCAAGCTCCACCTTGAGAACCATCTCATTCAATATCTTAACATCACCCCAATGGATGGGCCAATCGATCCCGCTGTTTCAGGCCATTCCCGATTCGCCAGGCCGACCGACCGTCCCTCTGGCCTTCGGGCTGTTTGTCGGGGTGGCACTTGAGGCACCGCTGGCGCCAGGCCTTCCGCAGCTCATTGAAGTGCTCACCAGTCTCCCGGAAGCCGCTCAGCCACTCCGGGGGCGCCTCGCTGGTGTATTTTCACACACGGCGAAGTGGAGGGTAGGACTAGGAAGATGGGTAGGAAGTGGTAGGGGTTGAGATATGTTGAGATAGATTAAGTATTTTGGAATGTTTTGACCTGATGCTGCATGCTACATTAGAGTTGAAGAATGCGCGTGTCGAAGCGGCGTATTTGAGAAATCAAACTCGAACAAACCTTCAAGCAGCAACTATTGACCTAACACACTTGGAGGTACTCATCTCTTCCACCCACCGACATTCTTAAGAACCTCCTTTGCACCTATTTCTTTTTCACCCTCGCACCAAACATCCCAAACACACACACACAAACACACAAACAAGCGGTTGAGTGACCACCTCCGTCCCGCTCCACCCGGCGTTTGGCGCCTCTAGCACTTGGAAGGCTTCCTCCAGCGAGAGCTGCGGCCCGCTGCGGTGCAGCCTCGCGCGGCGCGCCTCCGCGTCACGGAAGAGCTTCCCCGTCTGCAGCGGCCGGGAGTGAGCTCTCTGGAGGTGTGGAGAGTGAAGGGATGCGCAGGTGGATGGGTTGAGGGGGGAGCAGTGTGGGCTGAAGAACCATGAGCCATCTGAAGAGAGTTAGTTGAGTCTGGCCTCGGGTGGTCTTTTGGAATGACATGGCACAAACTTTGGGGATGTTAGTTGGAGTAAAGAAGCAAACTCAATCATAGATAGACAAACAGCTTCTTGCCAGTTGCGCCAGTGAGACCTACTTGGTTGGTTCCAGTTTAGTATGGATTCTGAAAGCACAAACCTCTGAGACCCTCCAATTCGTGCCATTTGTGCTGCCCCTTCGCCATGGCTCTCCTTTGGTCAAAACATGTCAAAACCAACCGTCACAGCCTGCGGTCACAAACCCCTGAAGGCCCAAAAACATCACAGAACCACTCGTGAAGTCCCTTCGTTACTGTTACCCCACCCTTTCAAGTCTCCTTGGAGTCCCTCCCCATCCAGTTTGAGACTCCGTCCCCAATAAAAGGAGACCAGACCACAGCGCGGGTCCACCTCTCCGAACCGCCCGTTCGCTCGGTCCCCGAGCTCGTCCCGGTCCACCCGGTCATCGGCCGAGGCACATCGATCCTGGGGGCGGCCTGGTTCGAGAGCTTATCACCTTCCATCAGCGAATACCTCCGACGTTCTTCGGCCGGGGCCCCGGTGAGAAACTCAGGGTGGACAGCAGCGGTCGTGTTGAGGTACAGTAGCAGCTCGGAAACTGAAGGGATCAAGTCCTGAATGAGATCATAATATGACATCTCCTAGTTCCTGCATAAATCCGTGAAGTTTTTGTTGCTAGAAGGCATTCATCTTGCTCTCTTTCTTGCACTTGCAAAAGGGAAAGGACACTTCCAACAGTGTTACTGGTCACCACCGGTGATGGTCACCGTCGCCCCTCCCTCCGCCCCGAAGCGGGCTCGGCGCACAAGAACTCCGCCGTCTCCATATCCCGCGCCTCGCGAACTCGTCGGTCCGGGAAGCTGCGAAGCAAAACGGGTGCCGGACCATCGCAGGGTTTTGCTTCCGGGTTTTTGGGCTTCCGGATGTTTGGTTAGATTCGGTTAGATACGACTATTTTTTCCTTGTTCCAGGCCCAGGCATTGAATGTCAATGATGGTCAATGGCATCCTGAAACAAAGCAACAAACCACTGCAGTTTTCACAGAGCTTGGCTTTGCACCCTGCAGCTGAATGATGCACAACTAACAATCCATGTCGACACTTGATCAATAGGACCCCCCCCTGAAGAGCTTTTACAATCCAATTGGGATATGGGGCGGCTATTGATCAACAGTCTACATTCTGTTCAAGAAAAAGCCTTCTTCATCCTTTCGTTTGGGGTCATGTCACACACCGAACCGCCTTGCCCTCCGATGTCATGTCTGTCGCCCAAGGGACATAGTCCAGCGCGGTGTAGCCGGAACCGTTCATTTGCCAGGGGTCTGCCCCCATGTCGATGAGCGTGTGCAATGCCTCAAGATGACGAGTTCAACACATGCTAGGAATAAACATCAAGAACCCGGGGCTGTTGCTATTACAGTATATACATCAACAAATAGGTTGGGTTGACTCCTTTTTAGAACATTTGTTCGGTTCCATTTGGTTCTTTTCTTTGTGTTTTTATTGCTACAACACAGGCCAAACATGGTCAAAGGACATCAATTGTGTTGGGATCTTGCTCCTGCAAAAGCACATCATCAATGAGGTGAACGACCACAGTTTAATGTAGACGCTTGATTAATCAACCCCCCATATGAAGAAGATGTCCAATTCAAATGGTTGGATTTACTAATCAAGAGTCTACATTCGGCATGTTTAATGATTAGTCTTCTGCCACCGGAGCGCCCAAATGTGCCCGCTGTCGGCGGCCGCCATCAGCGGTGTGGTCTGCCAACACATGGCGCCCACGTCCGCCGCGGCCTCCACGAGCGCGGTGACCACGTCGCCGTTGCCCGCACCTGGCGACGAGAATGTGGTTTCAAAGGTTCGATGGCACTGGCACCCCGTTCGATGTCTTGGACAGATGGGGGGTCCATGTTTCAACCAAACTTGGGGTCTGCCATTGAACCTCTGATGACCCATTGTAAACAGAACATCCAGGATCATCCATTGGGTCACATGGACGTGATTCATGTTTATCCTACTTAGACATTCTCCAAGCAGGACACCCAGGACGGATGGTTCACGTGAATCATTCAGTCTGGCGATGTGGTTGTGAGGATCTAGGAATGGCATCAACTTGTAACTTGGCAAAGGCACCAGTCCAGCTTCGTTTAGGTATCTCGCTGCAAATGACTTAGCTAGCATGATTTGTTAAGCCATGTTAAGCCCAAAAACACTTGACCGCAATGCCCAGAACACCAACACCAAGGGCCATGTTGCCCACAACACCTGGCCGCAACGAGAGGACACTGGCCGCCTGTGCCTTACCAGCACCGCGCACCGCTCGACAAAGATCATAATCATCGCGCCTTCGTTGACGCAGGCCAACTGCAGGGGGTTCATCAAATCGGCATTCTTTCCTCAGAGGGCAAACGGGGTGAAACCGGAAGCCTCAAGAAACCCATGAACAAAAGAACGAAGAGCTAGCTGGACATGCGTTCCATTCGGACAACTTTTTGTTTCACAAACGCTGGTGAGATTCCTGTGACCTCTGCAGCATGTGCGATGAGCTCCTTCACAATGAGGCAGCGACCCAAAAACGCGGCATCCATCAGGGGAGTGTTCTTCTGATGGTCCAGCTGATTCACTAGCCTCACGAAGGCGCCACCGTTCTGTGCTTTTCGAGCCCGGCCCAGGTCGGCTCGCTGGACACCGTGCGTTTCGTGCGGGTTCAGCTTCGGAAGATGTGGACACCGAGAAATCGACTGCCATTGACGTCTGTCACCCATGTGCGTTCGTCTCATTCGCATCAACAACAACATTGAACACGTTGCAGTACTTGCATCATCTAGTGAACTCTAGTGAATACATTTTGCAGAATGCCAGGGAAAAAGAGAAAACAGTTTCCAACGATTCTCACTTTGCATCATGTTCAACGTATGCCGCCTGCATGCCTACCTGTGCCAAAAGGTTTTTGTGCCAGCCGGTGTTTCCAGCCTTCTTCAGCCTTGCACAAACACAAGATCATCGAACATGTCTTCCCCAAGCCAGAGATGATTTCCTCAAGCGTACCCTACACCCCGACCAAACGCCGAGTGGCAGAACAAAAACAAGCAAACACACTGTAAACAGACATGTCATGACATTGACATGTCCACCTTTTTCCTGCCCCAACCACCGTCACCTGAGAGCCTCCCCCCCCCCAAGCACAACCGCCACCTCCACCCCACCACCCGACGTCGGACCCTGGATCCGCTTCCATCATCGCCCGGCAAAGCCGTAGATCGCCACGGCTGGCGGCCACGTGCAAGGGCGAGCGTCCTGCGATTCGTGTCGGGTTTCGGCCGAGGGTGTAGGGGTACGGCGTGAGAGGCGGCGTGCGAGACGTTTCGGTGTGTCAGTCCGAACGCAGGTGGTTTTTTGTGTTGATTTTTTTCGGAGATGGCGTGACATGATAAAAGGTGGACTTCGGAGACGGCATAGCATTCGTAGCATCATGGCAAAATGCCATGTGTCTGTGGCTCAACACTGCGAACAAACTCTATTCATTACGTCACTACGTCTGATTACGAATGTAGAGTCAACACATGGCAAAACTAGAAACCCAGAAGCATCCCACACACCCTCCATCACATTCACCTGCCCTCTCTTCCCTTTCATTCCGTTCACCCAAGAAGAAGACCGTTCACCCCACCTCGTTCCGTCCTCGCTCGTCGCGCGCGGCGAGGATCCCCACGTTGCTGCGCTCTGCCAAGCTGTCTGCCACGTCGGTGAGCTCTTCCGGGTCGACGTCGGGGTCCTTCCTCGAGGGGCCGCCGGGACGTGGGCGAAAGGAACCGGGAACGGGTGGCAGAATGAGGAAGGACGCAACGTTCGGAGCAAAGGGCATCGTTACGAACGGAGCGTTTGGACGCTACGATCGGGGCTCCTGGCCTTACTACTAAGAGCAAGAAGCTATTATAAGAACCAAGAAATCGAAGCTATTAGAAACAAGAAATCGCCAGCGCGTAGGACTTTTCTGGGAGCTCTCAAGTACAACTATCTCACCGCGATCGCGAGCGGTCCGGTTGTGCGGACGGGGCCGCCTGATGCTTCAAGCCTTGGAGAAACAAGCGCTGCACTTCCCTGTATCCGACACTGTATCCATTCTCGGCGGCAACCTCCAAGGCGGTTTCCCCGTTTTCATTTTGTGCGTCCTGGTCAGCTCCAGCCTCGAGCAACACTCGCACGACTTGCGTGTGGCCACCCTGAGCTGCAACCATCAAGGTGGTTGTCCCGTCGTGAGTTGCTGTGTTGAGGTCAGCTCTAGCCTCGAGCAACACCCGCACCACTTCCAAGTG